TTGGTTGTCGGTCGGTCAGTCAGTCAGTCAGTCAGTCAGTCGGTTGGTTGGTCGGTTGGTTGGTTGTCGGTCGGTCAGTCAGTCAGTCAGTCAGTCAGTCGGTTGGTTGGTTGGTTGGTTTTGGTTGGTTGGTTGGTTGGTCGGTCGGTCAGTTGGTTGGAGACAGAGTGGAGTGAAAGCTTGGTGGGGGGGTTCAGTGTTTGTGGGGAGATTGAATGAAGGTTTCTCTCTTCAGAATGACTCAGCAGTGAAATCAGTGAACAGCTGTTGGTTTGACAACGTGTTTGAGAAGCTGCCAAACAAGCTTTTAGACTCCAAGGTTATGAAGTGATTCATGATCAATCAGACGAGTGGCTGTAACCTGCAGCTCCTAAAAAAGAAACTGTGGAGCTGTTGCAGCCTCTGTTGTGTTTGCTGTTTAGCAGCTTAGAGAAAGAATAGCTAATTAATCTTTTCAGGTTTAATAATTTCACAGAAAGTCACATTTAAACTGCATGAAAAGTTTAAAGGCATCAACATGCTCTGACCTGTTTTCCTTTCAGACCTTGTAAAAACCCTAAATGAGCAGAGCCACAGCCTCAAACAGATATAGACACAGATCCTGAGACAGTTAGTGTGTTACAGACTCATGAGGCTGTTTACACCTTCAGAGGGATGATAACGGTCTACAGCTAAATTTACTGCAGTTCATTATTTGTGTACGAGCCACAGAAAAGACTGTAAGTTGCTTCTTGGAAGTCGAAGCAGAGCCAGATCAGGGGTTAAGTACCAGTTAACCCAGCGTCAGTGGGACTGACTGCAGCCGGCATTCCTCTGAGATTTCATTATTCTGAATTGACAGTAATTACAGTGAGTGGTGTGTGGTGTGTGGTGTGTGGTGTGTTGTGTGTTGTGGTGCAGTCAACAAGTACTGAGCTCTTTTCAAGACAATATGTTGGTGTTTCATTAGTAATGTAGTTTTTAAAGGTATTTTTCTTTTGCTGACACTGTGATTTGTTGTTTAATCTGTATTGTACTTTACTATTTCCATTTTATACTACTTTAAATTTCCACTCACCACATTTATTTGACAGCTGAACTTTATAGGCTCGTTATAGTCTTAAAGTATAGTATATCTTAGTTTAAGATTCAGATTTTGTTAGTTTTTAAAGAAAAAGCACAAGAAATGACAAATCAGACATGTCTATGAATTCCTTCTAAACTTTGATTTAAATAACTGCTCGAATGTCTAATTACCTAATATTTAACAACAAATCAAAAATTAAAGAAAACTAAAGAAAAAATGAAAACAACTCTTCACTGTTTAATCACCTTTAACTAACAATATTCTGTATTTTTACATTAAGTGGGATTTTGAAAGCAGTACTTTTATTTATATCAGAATATTTCACATCAGAATCTCTAACAACAGAAGTGAGTTTTTAAAATGAAGACATCTTATTGTCTTCATATATCCTCTGTGTTTGCCTTCTTGTTGCTGTCTTTTACACATGACTATCCTTCTTATCTCATCTGTCCATTATCATGTGATTATTTTGTTTATTCTCTGGTTTCCTACAGTTTCCAATCTCTGAGGAAAATCCTTCAGAAGCAGCATTATCTTCTGTTTATCTGCTGTTTTCCCAGAAAAGTCTTTAACTGTCCATTAATGTCAAAGTCTCATTAAGACTTTGGACTCTTCAACATGGAGAATTCAAAAGAATTAAAGCAGTTTAATGTAAAAATAATAATTTATAAAAGGCGTATAGGTTGTAAATAATGGTTTGGTTGAAAAATATTGCCAATAAACAATTTGCTAATTCTTTATCGATCCAAATATGAAGAACTTCAGGGTTTCAGGTTGTGATGCATGTTTATCTTTCTATCTGGTAATAATACAGCTAAAAATGATAATAATGTTTAAATAAATCCATGTGGATTTCTAAAGCACCACATAGTCTGCAGTTATAAATGTTAATGAGGTGTATAATAAATCCTTTTTGTTATAAATAAGCAGGTTTTTCACAACCTGGTAACCTAAAGTTTGTATTCATTAATGGGTTATAACTGATCTAAAAAGCTTTAGTAATTGATTTATTAACTGTTAATGAAGACACTTATTATAGCTTATAAACACTCTATAAAGGACCCTCAGGAACCTGTGTAAGACAATAACATATTGTCTACATCAGTGAACTGAACAACTTTCACAACTATCTGCAACAGAGGAAGTGATTGGTTGGTTGATATTTTATCGTACTTTCAAACGTTGCGTCTGATCCTCTTATAGTCGACAGCTCAGGCAGCTCGTGACCTACAATACAGGATGGACCCATGAAGACACTTACATAATAAACCTGACCTGCCTCCACGTGAGGGAGAGGGAGGCTGACGCACTCTAACCAACAGTACACCCCCAGGGAGGGGGGCGGGGGGTTACTCACTGTTTCATGATCTGATCAGAACTCATTTTAAATTTCATTCAGCTGATAGACAGAGACTCAGTGGACAGGAGGACAGATGAGGACTATTATGAGAATAAGAAGGGTTAAAAAACATGGTGTTAACTTTGCTTCAAAATAAAAGTACAGATGTCAGAAGGTCTGTGAGCAGCTCAGAGTCTCAGAGCCATAGGAAAATATGAATATATAATATGAATCTATCACTTTACTCTCTGTGTTTGTCACATTTCAGAGGGACTGTTGTCTAACTTCACCTCATTACAGCTTCATCAACCCACATACATCCTGCACCATCAGCAGTTTATGGAGCTGAGACTGTTTATTAGACAAGTCCATTGTTCTGCAGGTGAAGAGCTTCAGTGAGCAGAGCTTCAGGTGAAGAGCTTAAGTCTGCAGAGCTGCAGGTGAAGAGCTTCAGGTGAAGAGCTTCAGTGAGCAGAGCTGCAGGTGAAGAGCTTCAGTGAGCAGAGCTGCAGGTGAAGAGCGTCAGGTGAAGAGCTTCAGTCTGCAGAGCTTCAGGTGAAGTAACTTTACTTGTTAAACAACTAGTGTTAGTACTGCCACTGCAGTTCTACTAGTATTACTACCAGTACTATTGCTATATTACTATATTACTTTTACTTTGCTGCAAATGTACAATGCTGCTGTTTATTTCATGTTATTTATTTATGACTATTTGTATATATTTATTTATTTGTCTTTTATTCTGAGGTTCAGATTTCAATCATCACCTTATCAATAACCTGACCACAAGGTCCATTTAGTAGCTGTTCTGGGGCTTTCTATCATGTCACATGATCATCACTTTCCTCATTTTCATCAGCTCAAAAATAAATGAATGTTTGGACCAGCTGACTTTATGCTCAGATTATTTTTGAACATCATTTATTTATTTTTGTTCTAAAGTTAATTTAATTTAATTTTTATTTTATTTTACATTATTTTCCTTCATTTTATTTAATTTTAATTTCAATTTGATTTACTTATAGAATTTAATTTGATTTAATGGTACATTATTTCATTTGATTTTTCTTTTTATTTAAATTTAATTTGCTGCAGAACGATCCGGTTTCTGAGGATTAAACCAGGTTGAATCAGGTTTAAATTCGTGGAAACCATTAAGTCAATGAGTCGCCCAACTGAAACAAGTTTGTTTATGTGTGTGTGTGTGTGTGTGTGTGTGTGTGTGTGTGTGTAGGAGGAGGAGGAGGAGTCTGTGTGGGAGTGGGCGGGGCGATGAGCCGCTCTGTGCTTTCATTGGCTCTGTGTTCAGAGGTCCGGACGCCGGGACCGATCAGCGGCCAGTGCAGACTGAGGCTCTGAGCGGAGACGCAGCTCCGGGCTCCGGGAGACAGAGGAGCTTTCAGCCGGTCTGTGTCGGGCAGAGATGGAGTGCATTGAAAGGACCGACTCGGTGAAGAGTTGAGTTTTCTCGGACATGGAGCCGCAGATGAAAAGACAGTGAACCGCAGTGAAGTCATCATCAGTCCCGCCTGGGTCTGAGGAGCAGCGGAGGATGACACCTGCAGCCGCCGGCACAGGACCGACGCTGTTCCGGACTGGGCATCAGTGAAGAGTCGGTCAGAGCTTCTTCACTGACCTGCGGCCTGACACCGACTCTTCAGCTGCAGCTGCACGAAGCGCATCTGTTTAACTTTGCACCAGACAGGACTGCGGCAAAACTACAGCGGGCTCGAACCTGAACACCTCACACACAGGTGAGTCTCAGAGAGGAGGAGGACTAGTTCATGGGTTTTATAAGTGAACTCAGAGGAATCTGAAAGTATAAGTCCAGTGTGACCCAGGTGATGTCTGAGTGAGCATTTATATTATCATATCTCATCATCACTCAGTCATTTCTAGTCACATGAAAAACAACAAACCTGTGACAGAATGAGAACATGAATGTTGAAATATAAACAGGAAGGAATAAATACGTAAATAACAAATGTGGAAATATAAAGTGAAATAAATATAGACTAAAAATAAAAATGCTTTTACTGAAGACGCATAAAAAAAAACAGCATGAAAACATAGATTATAAAATAGATAATAACTCATGAGCTCTGACATAACTCAACATATTCACCTTCTTGTCCTTCACATTAAAATGAATATTAATATTTAAAAACACTGAAGCTCATAGATTCATTTAGATCGTTGATTAACCCTTTACATCCATTTTCATTTCATTTAATGTCTTTATATCTTGTATATCTATATCTATATAGAGATTATAGATATAGATATATCTCATGTCTCAGCTTGTTCATGAAGTTCACAGACTGAATGTATTTGAACTCATCAGTCTGACGTTTGAAGGTTTGTGGTTTGGATCAGTGTCTGAGCAGCTGAAGACGTTGATGTGGACTCCATGATGTTCAGTGACCAGTCCAGATGTTTGAATGGAGCAGATGTGTGTGTCTCTGTTGACTCTTCTTCTGTGTTTTAATGTTGCAGGTGATAAAGTGTGTGATGTTCACGTCACCTGGATCTGAAGAAGTCAGAGACAAACTCCTCCCTCTCTGAAGCGTCTGATCTCTGGAGCTCTGACTCATCATGGGGACCGTTCTGTCGCTGTCCCCCGGCTCTCGTAAGTCCGGTTACTATGACAACCGGCCCGGCTCCCTCAGCCACTACCCAAGCCTCAGCAGCCGCTCGCTCAACAGCCAGAAGGACCGCGGCCTGAAGAGGGGTCAGTCCATCTTCCTGCCGGCGCTCACGTGGAAGCGACTGGTGGCCTCCACCAAGAAGAAGGGCAACTCCAAGAAGGGCTCCGGGGGTCCGGGGCCCCTCGGCGACCCGCTCAACAACAACAACAACATCAACATCTACCAGAAGGACCCGGTGCTGCACCTGAACCGCGAGAATGTGAAGAAGTCTCTTTCGTGTGCCAACCTGTCCAGCTACGAGGGCCCGGCGGGTCTGGGTCTGGGTCTGGGCTACGGTCTAGGTCTGGGTCAGGGTCACGGGTACAGCTACAGTAAATCCCAGCAGCTGTCGTCGGTGAAGAAGGTCCCTCAGGGCGCCGTGACCTCCTCCCCGAAGCGCGTCATCGTCCAGGCGTCCACCAGCGAGCTGCTGCGCTGCCTGGGAGAGTTCCTGTGCTGCCGCTGTTACCGCCTGAAGCACCTGTCCCCCGCCGACCCCGTGCTGTGGCTGCGTGCCGTCGACCGCTCGCTGCTGCTGCAGGGCTGGCAGGACCAGGCCTTCGTCACGCCGGCCAACGTGGTCTTCGTCTACATGCTGTGCCGGGACGTGGTGGACGGAGACCTGGTGGCGTCGGAGCACGAGCTGCAGGCCATCCTGCTCACCTGCCTCTACCTGTCCTACTCCTACATGGGCAACGAGATCTCCTACCCGCTCAAGCCCTTCCTGGTGGAGGCGGGGAAGGAGGCCTTCTGGGACCGCTGCCTCGCCATCATCGACGCCACCAGCTCCAAGATGCTGCGCATCAATGCAGACCCGCACTTCTTCACACAGGTGTTCGCTGAACTGAAGAGCGAAGGCGGCTGCGCCCCCCAGGACTACAGCCGCGTGCTGGACCGGTGAGAGGAGGTCTGACCCCCCCTCCCTGCTGACCGCATGCCTTTCTGTACGTTCATACATATGTTCAGGCCCCCCCCCGCCGTGAAGGTCTGTCTCACAGCTGATTCATCTGTTCCTCAGAAACTTTGTCTGATGGTTGTCATGGAAACAAACAACAAACCTGAGTTTACATGAACTCAGGAACCATTTGTCCCACATGTCACTGACCCCCCCCCCACATGTAGACGTGACTCAGACTGACGGGAACAGCTGAGACGTCCACGTCAGGTCCTGGTCTCTGTGTGATCAGGAGAACCAACAGGAAGTGGGTTTTTCTGTCCTGGGGGGGCAGTTGCTGGTTTTTATCTTCACCTTCTCAGACCTGGACTCTGTGTCTGTCTCACCTGAGGAGAGTCAGTATGGATTTAAGATTGTCGTGTGTGTGTGTGTGTGTGTGTGTGTGTGTGTGTGCGTGTGTGTGGAGGCGTCGTGTGGTGGACGGCAGCCAGGGTCATCAGCTGTTTACCCCCCCCCCTTTGTTCCTGCCTCTTGTTGACAGGGCTGTGGTATTAATGAGATTAGCAGATTACTGCAGCCCCTCCCCTCCCTGCCCTCAACCTCTGCCCCCCTCTTGTCCACTCGGCCGCCCTGCAGAGCATCAGTGTTTAATCCAGGCTGGACTGTAAACACACACACACACACACACACACACACACACACACACACACACACACACACACACACACACACACACACACTCACACACACACACACACACACACACACACACACACACACACACACACACACACACACACACACACACACACACACACACACACACACACACACTCACACACACACACACTCACACACACACTCACACACACACACACACACTCACTCACACACACACTCACTCACACACACACACACACACACACACACACACAGGGTTTGTTGTTGTCCCACTTTCTCCTCCGTCACCTGTGTATCCTCATCTGCCATCATGAGGCGTTCAGGGACGTCGCTGTGTTTCTTATTCACCTGAGTGAGACGGCGTCGGTGTTTCCTGTCACATGACAGATGAAAAACACGTCACAGGAGATTTAATAATCAGATGATTATACGTCCTGAGAATCCAAACGTTGAGTTTGACGCTGAAGGAAGAACACAACTGATGGAGCTGCTTTCAGGTCATTACAGGAACATAAACAGTTAAATCTGCAGGAAATGATATCTGTATCTAAATATCTAAATCTAAATCTATATATCTGAGTTTAGATCTTTGTGATTGACCCCTGAACAGGAAACAATGCGTCGCTCGTGTCCAGCAGCTGCTCTGTGAGAAACAAACAGATTTTATCTTTAAAAATCAAAAGAGACGAAACTCAGTCAGAAAAGTTTTTCGTCTCTGGTTGTGAATCAGTTTCAGCTCCTTGTTAACGTTGCTCACGTTAGCATGTGGCAAAGCTTTAATCTTATTGTGTCTGGGCATCTGGAGGTTTACTGCCCCCCCCCCATGCACTTCGCTGTTTTCACCCACAAGGTCACATGATAAATAAACAAGCGTCCCTACAAGATGTGACCTTTACACACATGTGCATACAAACACACTCACACTCTCCTGGGGTAATCCAGTCATACCCCCCCCCCCCGCCCCCCCCCCCATCAAACAGCGAGAGTGATGAAAACATGAGGAAACCAGTCAGTCTCACACTTCCTGTACAGTTCTGGACCCGGCTCAGTCTGACAGGCGGGGGCCTCAGAGACCCAGAGCTCCTCAGATTGCTCGGGTTACTGGAGCCTGCCTCCGTTTTCCCGCCTCAGGGACGTGAGCACCAGTCGAGCAGAGCGGTGATTCACGCTGCTGCTGTCTCTGTCTCAGCTGGGACTGGCGGCCATTTTGGCCTCGTTGTTTTGGTCACTGCCACTCTCTCTCTCCATCCTGGCCCCGGCTTTAACAAGGACACTTGTGTCTTGACTCACACCCCCCCTCCCCTCCGCCCTCCCCCCCCTCCCCCCTCCCTCAGGCCCCATTTTCCACACACACTCAGCTGTTGTTCTGCCTGTTTCATTAGATTTGACACCCCACACCCGCCGGCCATTGTCAGGACGAGGAAGGGCAGAATGGGACTGTTTGTTGGCATCGGGTGGTGTGTGTGTGTGTGTGTGTGTGTGTGTGAGTGTGTGTGTGTGTGTGTGTGTGTGTGTGTGTGTGTGTGTGTGTGTGTGTGTGTGTGTGTGTGTGTGAGTGTGTGTGAGTGTGTGAGTGTGTGTGAGTGTGTGTGTGTGTGTGTGTGTGTGTGAGTGTGTGTGAATGTGGGTCAAAGTTAAGGGCAACATCTGCCTCCACCGTGCGCCTCCTGGCTGCTGATTGGATCAGAGCATGTCGGTCGTGTTCAGGTGCAGATGTGAAGCGGCTCCTGACGTCAGAGGAGAATCAGCTGCAGGTTCCTTCAGTGAAGAACATTCAGCTCTTTCTTCAGAGACACACACAGAGGAACTCTGTTCGTTTCATTCAGCTTTAACACAATTTGTCAAATGTGACGTAAAGGAAGAGGCGACCGTCCCCTCGTCCAGGACCTTCTGTCCAATCAGGCGTCGTGCTGGATCCTGTAGCCACTCCTCCGCTCGTTTCTCCGAGCGCAGCCGCTTCAAAGCCAATTAACTCTTATCTCGACCTGAGCTCTGATTCTGCTCATCCAATCAAAGGCCTCGGCGAGATTCCCCAGCTCTGACGGCGAGGAGACACACGATGCCCGTGACATCTCGGAGGATAATTCATGACTCTCGTTACGTAGAAACTGAGTCCAGATATTTTAACGAGATTAAACTTGACATTTGGTGCGAACAGGAGCCGAGTGTGTGACGGGACAGAACATTCAGACCAGAGCTGCTGTTTGAGTGAATCATGGGATCGAGACTTTAAACATGGTGATGTTATATTTTTCTTACTGCCAACAGTCCACGAGACACCGTCTGTGTTTATCTATAGAATATGGATTTATTGATTCTTTATTGTTATTGCATCAAAATACATGACGACATAAAGTTTGGCAACAAATTAAGACTAAAATCATTCAAATATAGAGACGTAAAGTAAAACAGAATATGTACAGAAACAAAAACAAACTCACTGTAACTTGTCAATTTCAAACAGACAAAGTACTTTCCTATAAAATCTGGGCTCTTTACTTTTTAGAAAACATCAATCAAACAGGAGACAGTGGTGAATCTGCTGCGGACTATTTTCAGCTGCGGATGAATACACATTTGATTTTTACAGCAGCAGGATTGACTCAAAAACAAAAGGATCCTGGAGCTTATGATGTGTAAGACTCTCTCTCTACACAGACTGTTTTTGTTTATGGTAAATTAATTGTTTTCATGGGATTTATTGACAGTAAGAAAAATATGAATGTATCAGCAGGTTTATCCTCCAGGTCTCCACAGCTCTGTGAGTTGTGTTGTATCAGTACGCTGCTGCTGCTGCTGCTGCTGCTGCTGCTGCTGCAGGGCGGTGTGGAAGTTCATTTGCACACCTTCAGCTGATTATGATGATGATGATGATGATGATGATGATGAAGATGTAAATATGTGGGAGTGTAACAAAGAGCTGTTGAGACTGAAGTAGTGCTGTGTCGTAGCGTGCATGCAGCTAGTTTAGACATGTTTCTTTTTTTACATCGGCTTCTGTTTGATTTTTATATGTGACGTTTTAAATGAAAGTTTATTTCTATGGAAACTGAAACTGGAGGAAACGTGATGTCGACAGAGTTAAAGTCTGTTGTGAGTGTCACTGTCGTCATGATGACGTGATCAGAATCTCGCTCCCTCTCAGACAGGAAACATAAAGAATTGATCAGCAGCTTCTTTCATCGAAGCACCAGCTGGTGACACCAAACTACGGTGGCCCTGAGAGTCCAAACACATGCAAACAGACCAGCACCTTCAGAAACATCTTCAGTCTGACACATGAGCTGCAAAGACACGCAACACAACAGGAAGTGTTTCCAGGGGACACATCAAAGTGACGGACCTGAGGGCTAAGCTAACGATAATATCTGGTGATAATATCTGAATAATGTGACGTTATAATTAAAAAAACTCACATTTTAACTAAGAGGTAGCCGACCACAAGTCAGGAAGCATTGAACAAGTGATGAGCCCAAGCCGGGTCCGTCATGTTTTAGTGTCCCCTGGAAACACTTCCTGTTGTGTTGTGAGTTTCTGCAGCTCATGTCAAACTGATGAAGACGTTTCTGAAGTTGTTTGTGTTTTGTCTGTTTTCATGTGTTTGAGAAGCTGAAGTGTTTTGAGCTTCAGGGCCACCGTACAAAGGCAGCCACTGTAGATGTAGCATTAGCGCAGGCGGCTCTGCGGCCTCCCTAACTGTAGCTCCGCCTCTGAAACTTCACCACTTCACCTTCATCACAACACGGCGCCTGTGTTGTGCCAACACTGGACCGATGTTAACACAGAGATATATAACTGTCTAGTGTCCATCACCTCCTCCTCCTCCTCCTCCGCCTCCCTCTGAGTTTCCATGGTTACCCTCCTCACTGTCACACCAACATGAAGCAGCTCTTCACCTCCAGTGACTTTTGTGAAGCCACTAAAGTATAAAAGTAAAAAACTGTTGATGGGGAAACTTGAAGAAAAACAAATGTGACTGTTTCATTTGTTCATGTTTTTTTTGTTTGTTTGTTTGTTTCCTTTTTCATGATGATGTTGTTGTTTACTATGTTGATTATTTAATAAAGTATTGAGCTGAAATCCAAACCTGCCGCTTCTCTCTCTTCACACACTGAAGCAGAACCATCTCTGTTCCCTGAACGTCACATGATAAGCTTCAGTCCGGCTGTAAATCCACGTAGGACACACAATGGCCCCATGCTGCAGATGGCCTTTAGCCCCCCCCCCACAGCACAGCTAGCTGATGACTGTACCCTCATAATTACGGTACAGACATGAGAGCAGTTAGCAATTTAGAAAAACTGATATTCACATCCACACAGCTG